CATGCTGACTCATGGTTCTGGTGGTGATCGCCTTTGATTCAGCAAAGAAAATATTTAGGTGAGAACTTTGTCGTTCCACACAGACGACGCCAAACTGATGATGCACAAATTAGTTTGCACACCACCTGTCAAGTATGCAGTATATAATGTAGTAAAATAAGTAGGAGGGAGAGAGAAGACAAGGTTTATAGTGGTTCGGTCAACATGACTTACGTCCACTTTGAATGGCAAGGGTTGCCGGAATTTTATTATCTTCGGTATGGAGGGAGAGCATAAGATTACAAGCTTTCAGAGAGGAGGAGAGTATTTTGCTCAAAGTGAGTGAGATGCCCTCAAGTGTTGGTGGGACTTATAATTTATAGTGGCTTAGTGTAGTAATTGCATAGCTAGTTAGACGGTCATAACGGGGTTGGGTCCATTTGATAGTCATAACAGATTGGTGTGACTTTAATTGTGATTAAATAGCTTGGCGACCTCTGCTCTCCTCAACAGCAAGGAAGTTTATGATGCTCTCCAAGTGGTGAGAGTGAGGCTCCTGGATGCTCCTTGGTGGTGTAAAGGAGGCTCATGGATGACCTTGCATACTCTACCCCAAGGTGGTAGAGGAGACTCCTTGATGACTTTGCATGCTCCTTGTTGACGTAACTCTTTAAGCTTGATGAGTTTGACTAGACCGATCACATTGGGCTGAACTTGTTGGACCTTTTGGAGTTGGGTCTTAAAACTCGGACCAAGCTTATAACATGAGTTGGACCCTTGGGCTTGGCCCATCAATTCATACTCCAGTTGCACCCTCAAGATTAGGACAAAGGTAATGACCTAGATATCTAAGATTATCCCTTGGTTTATTTAATTTGGGAGGATTAGAGTTAAAATAGAATTAGGAATTAATCTGTGTGTGACTCTTGGATGATTTTAAAAGAAAAGATTTCTTTTGTATTTTGAAAACATAAATTAAGTCATTAGCTGACCCCTCTTGAGTAACACTCTTTAGTGTTCAAGATGACAAATATTTTGCTTGGGTTTAGGTTTAAAAAATCTAGTAGGGATCGTCTTATGATCATTAGCCTTCCCTAAAACAGTCTCTTTGTGATTTAGGAAAGAAAAGGGGAAGAGACTACGAGATGGGGTACTGGGCTCTCTCTATGAGCTCTCTCGAGCGACTTTGACCATCGCTCGAGCGATCTCATGGTTGGTCAAGCGGTCTATGCTCCTCAGTTAGGTTTAAGACGTGATTTTCATTCCAATGATAATTGCCCTATGACCGCCCTCCCTCCGATTGAGCAGTCGTTAACAAATCTAAGTTTCCTTGTTGATCAAGATTATCCTCATTCCAGGCCTATAAATAGGGAGAGTTTTTTCTTCAATTAGGGTAAGCCTCTTGTAAGCTTTTGAGTGAGAAAACTCATCTTTAACCTAGAGAACTTCCACCACAACCCTAGATCCCTAAGATCCCAGGCTGTCACTAGAGATTTTATCCAGCTCACAACTTGGAGTTGAAGATTTAGATGGTTTAACAAATCCATTGGTGTTTGTATACAGGGAATCATTAGCGTGCCCATGATTGCTCAATGCCTAAATGAATCTTGCAACAAGGAGTTCAACTGAAGCTACACAAAACGTCGAAGATGGACTTTCAGTAAAGATTAAGTAGTAGATTAAGCTTTGGTAGACCAAGAAGGTTTCCCGTGGTTTTTCTTGAGAAGAGTTTTCGCGTCAACAAATTACTTATGTTATTTATTAGTTTTACATATACACTTGTGATTTGTTGCACACACGAACACTATGTTTGATGAATTGATTGTTTAAATCTACATATCACATATAGTTGCTTATGGGGTTCAGGTTGCCTTGGTTAGGATCATCGTGGGAGATTACGTGTTAATCACAAATTGATAAAATCAATACACTAATCCACATGGTGTTTTGGGTTGTAGTATTTGAAAATGAGTTCTCACACTTAACTTACATATTATTGTGTGACAACGTAATTGTGGTAGATTTAGGTTAAAATTGGTGGTCATCCGAGCTTAAATTTTAATTAACCTATTCACCACTCTCTTGGTTCAACGTGTGATTCCTCATGTATAATCGAGTGGAAAGATCCTACACGTGAAGTGTTGTATTTTCTCCACAATAACCATCAAACATAACTATAGTATACTCTTGATCATTATCGCTTGAATCTATATCTTAGATATGTTTTTATCTGATGGAGATAAGATTGAGATCTCGAACAGATCGAACACAAGCCCTATCACTATTGCAAACCCTATTACGATCTGCAACATTATTCATTCTCAATGTTAACCAAGCAAGGGGATCATGGAACTCATGATAAGCTTGTAGGTTCCCACATCGAAAACTAAATAACTCGACCCTCCAAAGAGCATCTTTCACATGATCACTGTCACGAGGAAGGTTGGCCATTGACACCACTTGGCTAATTAGCAATCATGCTAGATCAATGAAGACTCTGATTTCAATCAACACATCAATAATGGAGACACAAAGAAATTTATGTTTCTTCACGTATCGAACACACATACTAATTAGCGAAGGTTGTCACTACTTCACTAATCATCAATCATATTAGGTAAGTCAAGTCTCCAATACTAATTTAAGTAGCAGTAAGTGAGACAAAAAATATCATTATTTGTTCGTGTATCAAACATACAAAAAACTGTTTGAATCCATATGAAAATGAGATTAAACTCTGAAAGATGGTATTATTGACTTGATAAAACTTGTAGTAGAACAATTTATTAAAATGCCTCAAACTCCAAAGTTTTTCAGCCAATAATACGCAAGTTACTAAAAAACATAATAAAATTGCAGATTATTTGGAGTTAGAAAAAGATGACATGTAAACATTCTAGAATACTACTCATTAAATTCTAACTATAACATTTGACATGAGTTAGCCAATACATTGATTAATCCAATCTTGCTTGCGACGATATATTTTTGTCACAGAATATAATTTTAGCGACGTATTTTTTATTTTTTGTGACGTTTATTTTCCATTGCTGAAAATATGTTTTGGCGAAGAAATAAATGTTTTCCTTGACGAGGCTATTAGGATGAAGCTGTGACGACGCAATAAAATTGTTGCAAAAAATAATTCGCATTGCAAAAAAAAAATAATAATAATAACCATACACAAATAAGATACATAATTGTTACCTATGATTTTTTACCTTTTTCTTACTATTTATATTGTTGTTATTATTTTCATTTAGGTAATGTGGTAAAATAGCTTCTAATATTTGTGTTTGTACTATAATGAATTGTGTTGTGTTTCAAATTTTAATAATAGTGCTACTACTTTTGAATTTTTGCCATAAGTGTTGTTAGCGGAATAAAGAAAAGGATGATCAAGCTATTTATAAAAATAATAAATATATTTGTAATTGATTTTCTGATTCCATTTTCCTTTTTTCATAGCGGAAACATAAACCAAACAAGTGTTTTCTGTCTTTACTGTTCACAACATGGCTGAAATGCCTTCCATTATTGTTTTTTTTTTTTTTTTGAAAATGAAAATTGAAAATTTTACCGTCACCAAAAAATGGACATTGAGGGATCCTGGAGGATAGTACTTGTCATTATAGCGTCTTAATGAAATAAATATACAAAAATTAAAATCGAATTACATACTATTTTCAGTTGAGCCAATAACATGAATCTTTTTTTTTTTTTTTTTATGTAAGTTAAAAATATCATATTGCAGTGATACCAGACAACATAAAATCACCCCCTTTATTGTATAATAATTAATACAGAAATTTCATGCAATCAGTTACAATGCATGTAGCCTATGACGTCATAGACTCATTATTCCAAGTGCACACCTTAGATTTGGTGTAGTACTATTTGAGCTCCATGTTGCGGTTGAAGGGTTATAACAGTATAGGGGGCATGTGTGTATGAAGGAGAAAGCTCAAATGAAAAATGTTGCAAAATCATGGCTAGAGCAAGCTTTGCTTCTATCATGGCAAAGCTTTGGCCTAAACAGATTCTTGGTCCCCAACCAAATGGATAGAATGCAAGCTGATCTTTTGATGCCTTGGAAACTCCTTCAGCGAATCTCTCTGGTTTGAATTCTCCCACATCATCGCCCCAGTATTCGGGATTGTGATGTAATAGCAGTATTGGTAAGAAAATGTCGACCCCAGCAGGAAGCCACAAGCCACCGATGTCGTTTTGCTGGAGAGTGTGTCGATATAAACCCATCACAGGCGGATACAACCTTATAACCTCATGTAGAACCATTGAAACCTGCAAATGAAATATTAAGCCAATTGCTACTATTTACAATACTTCTTTCCTATGTCCTATATTTACGAAGTGCCTACTAGTCCTTGGAATGTGTGGCATAACAACTTTAAGCAATTTTGTTGTTGTAGTACTTCAAACAAGCATGTTTAACCCTCCTAATGTGAAGAACAAATGCCAAGCAAAAGTATATAAAGAGAAGCCTTCTTATTGGTATCTAGTGCTTATGCCGAATCTGTCAGGTTCTCAGGGGGGTTTTGGTGCTTATAGTTCACTCTACGATATTTCAAGCCTTTCGGAATGTGAAAAGAAGTTGTTACCTCTTCTTTTGAATTGCAAAGATAAGAAAAAGGTAGAACACAAATACTATCCAAAATAGTGGAGTCTTTAGGCAAGACCACTATCTTGTACTTCTAAGTTTTTTCGAGAAATAAAAAAAAAATGTTGAACATGGCAAGAGGCAACTATGTCTTTAAAGTGACTTCCGAAGAAAATGCAAATGAACCCTTTTTGCTTGTGTATATATCATTTGGGAACCCGAATTAAAAAATACTCATCTCTTGAGGAATTAGTAATAAATTAGGTTCACATAAAATTATAAGAGAAAAAAAATAAAAAGGAAACCAGATGTATTTAATTAAATTATTTAAATTCACATATACTTACAATCTTGAGGTGGTTTATTGAGTCAAGCTGAGGGGTTTTCTTCCCACAGATCTGTAGAACCTCTTCTCTTGCCTTCTCTTGCCAGTCTGGATGTATAGACAAGACAATCATCGTCCATGTAAGCCAGTTAGCAGTGGTCTCTTGGCCAGCAAAGTAGAACAACTTGCATTCTTCTATTATATCTTCAATTGTCATGTCATTCTCAATCTGTTGTTTGCATTGTAAAAGCAAGCCTAGTAGATCACTCTCACATGATTCCCCATTTGACATGGCTTTCTCTTTCTTCTGGATCATTTCCCTTAGCATTGCTTTTATCTCATTGTCTATCTGATACCTCCTCTTGTTCTTTTTAGTTGGTAAAAACCTATGTAAAGCATGAAGAATTAGGCCAAATTGAGATGATCAACAAAGAGTTCAATTCAATTAGACTGGTGGAAATTTCTGCGAGCACAAGAGTTTGTGATTGAATTTTGTAGTTTGGCCCAATAACACATTTGTACCCTATACTTTCAAAACACTCTCTAAAGTTTTGGACGAAATTGGAACCATTAGAAATTCTGTTAAAGTTAACAATTGAATATCAAAAGTCAATATTTGTAGATAAATACCCTTATATATTTTTTATTTTACCTCTCCAGAATAAACAATCTCTTCATCCCTCTTCCCTTCATATGCATTTACTAAATTTGTTCAATCTAAGTAAAATTTTTAGGAAGAAATAATATTACATAATTGAAAAAGATAAAGGGAAATTCTTAACCCCTTAGTTGTTATAAATTAATCCAAAACCACAGGGATTATGTGTGCATTTCTAAAATGAGATTAAATTCTTTATAGATTACTCGTAAACCAATGTGTTCAATGATTACTCTTAAAATTATTGAATCAAATCACATATAGGAAGGTAAATTTTAATTTAATGCTGCAACAAGGTGTCATTTAGACTCACAAGTGCATGGCAAACATTGGATGCACACAATCACCATCTAAACATGTGCATCGATTAAACTTAGATTTTATGCAGTCAAATGACTGGAACTACATACATGCAGGTTCATGTGTCACCCCTTCTATTTTAGTTATTTTTAAGCTATAGGTTCATACTAAAGATTTTCACAATATTGCAAACACTATAAGCAATCAGTTCATTTCATTTGGTTGTCTTCTCTACCATAAATAAACTCTGCTTGAAGTTTGGAAATGGCATTAATTCACCTTAACCGGGTACATATATGGCCTGATATGCTTCAAGCGCCAGAACCACCTGCTCTTTTTGAAGTTTAAAAATCTGTTGTCCTTCCTCATAGCTGCTTCCAAATGCTGCTCGAGAAATGACGTCAGATGAAAGAATTTGGAGTTGAGGCTCAATATCCAGTTCAAATGATCCTTGAGAACCAACCAAGTTCTTCCACTCATTGATCAATTTGCAACAACTGGTTGAAAATGCTGGCAGCATCCCCTGTTTATCACACGAATCCGTATATATAGCATTAGTACATAAACAGGCATGCACATCCTAGTTGTGGACAGCTTTATTTCAGTTAGAATTGTGGTTCTTGTACTTAATTTGTAATTACCTGAGCTAATTAACACATACAGGCTTCATACTTCTCCTTGAAGTTGGTTTCATAGTTCAAACAGTATTTGACCAACATTGGCCAATATAACTACCCTCCATTCAAATGTTTTTTTAAAAATTTAGTTTCAATCACCTATAAACTTTAATAATTCTTGAACTACTCGTATTGTGTGATAGGAAAAGAGAAAGGCAAGAAGGGAGAGAAAGAACTAGCCAGAGCAAGACGAGTTATAAATTTTGTGCATCACATGAGACGCCCGCTAGCATTTATGGGATACAGAACACACTAGTGGACAAACTCACTTACTAAAATTCTTTTCAAAAACCACTATATTATCCCAAGAGCCCCTTCTCTTCATTTTTTCACTCCAAATTTCTTTTGTCTTCTCATTCTTCTACTTCTTTTTCTCCAAAACCACTTTGCAGGATCAGCCCAACCTTATGGCTGAAAAAGGCTGGGCTTTAGGCCCCATAATTTTAGTTATATAATTAGTCCACATCAAAAGTTTAAATCTATAAAAATTTTAAGCATTGTCAAGAGGCCTCAAAAATTTTATGCCTAATCAAAATTTTCAATTTCAATAATTTGGGTCTATAATCCAACCTATAACAATAAAAACTCAAAAAATTAAAAGTTAAAAAAATAATAAAAGTGGATATCTACTCAAAAGTCAACCCATATTTACTCTCATTCGCTCTATCTCTCCCTAAATTAAGCCTCTCAGTAAAAACAAAAGCAAAAGTCAATACATCTCTCTCAACCCAGCCTCTCATTCTCTACCAAGTGTTCACATCCTCTCTCTCACACATAAAAAATTAAAAATAAATTAATTTTAATAGTAAAAATAAAAAGCCCTTACGATGATATCACTTTAGGCCTCATATTATCTTAAGCTACCCTAGCCACTTTGTTGTCAAAACATAGCATGATGGGTCTGAATCTCCACAGAGCTGAAGATTTAATGGTGTTACAAATATCGTTAATTTGCAGGGTTTGAGTCCCCTCCAATTTTAAACAAATTGAACAATCTTCCAATTCGTTTTTGAATTGTAGTTGTACGGATAAGAAGATTTAGTTGGATCAAAAAAGTAAACTAAAATTTGAAATCCAAAATCAATTGAATCTACAGGTTTATATTCAAATTTAAATTTGAATCTACATTTTAACAAGTATACATATATACTGATTGGATTTGATAAGATTAACCTGTAATTTATCATGGTAAAATGCAGGAGCAATCAATCTTCTGCGTTTGGCCCATTTATCTCCTTCCAAGGTGTTGATTCCAAGCGTTAGAAGATCAACAAGAGGGTTCAATGGTGGCTTTTGGAACTGACCATTCTTGTCATTTAATATCTGTGCCATCAGCTCTGGGTCCGCGATTATCAGCCGGGTCGCGTTTCAATCCAACTCATACTAATTTTTCCTGCTTTCCATATACAACATCATTAGTGAACGTCACAAATTAAATTATTTTTACTTGTGTCAGACATATCCCTATCCGTACTCAAGTCCTAATTCGGTTTTGAAAACTTCGATACGAGTATGATAAAGCTTCGATACGAGTTTCACCGCAACATCCACCTCAAAACCCGCACATAGAGTTTGGCCACTAAATCAGTATAGGTGATGATGTCGAATCATGGCTATTCGATTCTCAGTTTGCATTTAATTTTAAGATGCAATTCACACATGAATTTCAGCCCCAATTTGAATAATCCCAAATTGATGTTAATAGCATTAATATTAAACATAAGACATTGTTGGGGGGGGGGGGGGGGAGTGCTTACCATATTTCTGCACCATTTGATGAAAGAAGGGGTTGACACGAGGTGCAATCTGGTGGTTTAAACTCATGGGCTTGGACCATGCTTCTTTGATCAACCTCTGACTCTCTCTCATGCCGCCATTAAAGAGCTTGTAAGAAGTGCCCCTGATTCCTTGCTTCTTTAAAAGCTTTTCGAGGCTTTTGGGTCTCCACCAGATGTTATAAAAAACTCTCAGAACAATACAAAGAGTTAGTAAAACACAAGACGCAGACAGTTTCCTCAAGGTGAAAATCTCCATCTTGTTTCAGACAGTGTTCACAAGACACAGAAGGTGTTTTAGCTTTAAACGATATGAAACTCAAATGTGATGAATTTATGGTGAACTTTCAAATCCAAAGTAAAGAAATACTTGGCTGCTATATAGTGGGCCCATTCAATTATTTAGCGTTTGGATAGGGTATTAATAGCGAGATTTTCGGGCCCATTCAATTATTTGTACTAATCCTCAAATACAATAAAGACTAATCCTCATATATATATATATATATATATTGGATTTTGGAAAATTGAGAGTAAGGATTGATTATTTTTAGAATTGACTAGTACTTGTGCATTGCACGTGAACAACTTTGAGAATAGGTAATTGTATAATAAATTGCGGTCTAAATTATTATCTTATTAATGGTACATCTGAAACATAACCAATTTGCTTGAGTGTTTAGATGTAATAAATATTTATCAAATTTACACCCGTCTACTACCACCGTTAATTTCCTATAGTACATAAAACACAACAAAGATGTTAAGTTAAAAAGCATGGTACCAATGTACTTATATCGGCATATATTCAAATAATATAGGAAATTAATGCTCAAAAATGACATTATTTCTTAATATCTAAGAGATGAATCAGTTTGTCAAGATTCTGAGTCAAACAAGAACAAAACCAAGTTAAATCCAATTTCCACAAATAGGCTTTACTTGTATTGTAAAATCTAATGAGCCAACTTGCACAATTTCAAGAAACACGGTTTTCAAATTTTCATTCAAAAGCTAATGTAAAAGTTTAAGCATTGTGGCATGATGGTACACCCTGAAAGAAACATTGTTAAATCTTTGGGTCATATCCTTGTGGTGAAATACAAATAAACACAGCAGCTGAAACCTTAGAAAAGAAACAAAATTTTGAAACAAAGGGACCAAACTAATGATGCTCACATATCCATTGGATCATTGAGTAGCTGCTTTGACTTCCTCCATTGTAGACATTGTCACAAAACCAAATCCACGGCTTCTCTCTGTAAACTTTGAGAATTGATAATTGTACAATAAAATAAGGTTAATTGTGATTGATAAATAACAATATTAGTCACACTATTGATCTCAAGCATGGCCCAACTATAAGCATATAAAAATGATTCAAACAAAATATCATATCAGTAATTCATCCTCAAAATGCATAACCAAACAGCAACATGCCATAAAGAGTCGTCAATACACATGCACTACAATCATCATTAAAGTCGCTTGGCACATATAAGAAACGCACACTTCAACATCGCCTCCAGCTTGCTACAATTAGATGTATGGGTTCCACATCTGCCAGACGCACTCCCAACCTCCTGATACTCTTGTTGCAGTCCACTAGTCCCCTTTCACAATTTGACAATAGATAATTGCACAATAGAGTTGTTGCCTGGTTTATCATCTTATTAATGATACACCTCAAACCTCGCTTGTCCACTACTACCCTTAATTTCCTGTAGGACATAAAACACAACAAAGAGGTTAATTCACTTGCAAATTTTGAAAAATTAAAAAAAGCAAAGACCGAGTATGTACAATTCGAGAAAATGACATTTAATTGATCAATCCTGTTTTTTCAACTATGAGTTGGTATCATAACGTTTGGCGATAACCTTATTGATGGATTCTTCTAATAATACTTTTTAGCATTAGCAATGTCTATTTATCTTTATGCCATTGGTAGAATTTCAATGAACTATTATATTGGGCTTTCAAATCAGTTTTGATGACTCTTATCATGTTTTGGAAGAGGACTATTATAATTATGATATGACTCTAGTTAAAATCACACATAGAACACAATGAAAAGATCTAAACCATAGTAAATAAAATGTATCATGTCCTTATAACAAAAATTCCCACCAACGACACTTAACATGCTACGATTTTCATATTTGCTTAATTCAAATGTATAGAAGTTCCCTTCAGTTCTCTAGCTAGATGCTATTTACTCTCCTTTCCAATCATTATTCTCTGACACAAACTTTACCTCCTTACTTTTTGCATGGTCAACACTCTTAATGGCAACACTCTTAAGGGTTCCAAGAGATTCATATAATGTATTTGTTTTGCTTACTAAAAGCTAAAGTCAATATTTATTGTCCTAGTTCAGTGTCAAACAAGATTCATCTTGTCTTCTACTCAAGGGTAAAGATAATCTGGTATAGATTCCACAACCTATTAACTATGATGTGAATGCAACCTGGGGTTGGGGTTAACAGTGAGTTTAAGATTGCTAAGGATAAGAGACATTCATTTAAAACTTAAGAAGAGACAAAGACCACGATACAAGAAGAGCACCTCATTTTGGTATCTGTTAATTGCATGATTTTATAAGGGAACATTAGATTGCACATCAATCATGGAATAACATTGTGCAATTATGTTTTTCATATGTTAATAACCCAGATTTTTTGTTGTTAAAATTTCCTAAATAAATAAAACATTGTATTCAATTCTCACCACTGTTGCAGCAACTAAATAGAATAATGAACTGATTCAAAAACAAAATCACTAAAAAGAAAATACCGATGTAAATCATATCTGATTCAATATTTGTCTTCGAGATGGATTTTATAACTCTATTCTTCCAGTGATCCCATCAGCAAAACATAATAATAAGCAAAATCTAAAATGAAAACTCCCAAAACCGAACCAATCCAAAAATTCTGATATAATAATTTAATCACACGTGGTAGTTACTTGGTCAAAGGGAGGGGGTGAAGTTCCTTTGGCGGTGGAGAGCTTGAAGAAGAAGAAGGTTTGCTATGTAAAGTTATGAGATTTTTCGGGTTGGTACAAGTAAAGTTAAATTTTGCACAAAGAGTATAAATTAGAAGATGATAATGACTAAACACAAAAATTACGGGAAGGATTTGTTAACAAAAACTCATTACCTGATGAGCTAGTGCAGTGATGGTTGTGTAATGCCAAGACGCAAAAGCCAGCCAGAGTCTAACAGAGAGGGGTGAAGAGCGATGGTAAATAGGATTTTGAAGAATTTTTTGGACAGAGGAGGGCGATGGTAAATAGGGTTTTGAAGGATTTCTTAGAAGTTGTCTAGTTTTTTTCATTTTGCAAATTAATTGTTGGGATGTGAATAGCCACAACTAAAGCTTTAAAAGAAAGAGAAAATGGTTGCCTAACTGAATCTATAATAGCAAAGATGTATTTCAATGGTAACTGATTTCTGTAATTGAATACATATAATTAAAGAAATTTGGGGAGAGAGAGACACTGAGAGAGGGACGATGAAGGGGGCCATGACGATGTGATCTTGGTAGATAGAGCAACGGGGGGAAGGGGTAGTGAGGAGAGGGAGCATGAGGGTTTGTTGTTGATCGGTTTGTGAATTCGTAGGAGAGAGATAGCGACTTTGAGAGAGGAAATAGGGAGAGAGAAGAGGGAGAAAGGGTAACTGCTAAGAACTAAGGCTGTCTGTAAATTACAGGAGGCAGATATGCAAATAGGGAGAGAGAGAAGAGGGAGATTGGTTAACGACTGATAATCAATTAGAGCTGATGATGAATAGGCATTAACTCAGATGGATAAGGATGACATAAATTCAATATTAGAGGATAAAATTGGAAAAAAATATTTTTCATACATACTGATATTTTAAAAGAGTAATATTATGTAACTCAAATTTGTATCCCAAATAAAGGGAATCATTGGATTAATGAGTCCCATTTATAAAAACTGATGAGACCCACTCATCCAATGATCTCTTTCATTTGGGATGTAAATTTGGATACATAATATTTCTTATTTTAAAATAGCATAGATTTTGAACTTTGGAGAAATTAAGCATAAATGTAACTTGAATGCTCAAACACTTCTGTCTCGCCAAGTTTGAGAAAGAATCTAAATTTGGTAATTAATCTCCTTCAAACATAGCTATGCTAAATTCGCCATTTATGCCCGAGTATGGCGATTCATATACTAGCTAGGGACAGAGCGAAGTTATAGCACAGGTAGCCATGACCCCCAATCAATTTTTTAAAGCCCACAATGTTGCCTCCATCTTCCATAGTGACAATCCACCAATTTGAAGATGGAGATGGATGATTGATTACCTTTAAATTTTTTGTAGAATGGCAATTAAAGTTATTACTCACAAGGGTGTGGGGTTCTCTTAACATTATCTATATCTATAGTTATACAACTAATAAAAAATAGTTAAGCTAAAAAACTTTTGATTACCTATTATATTCCTATTAAAAAATATTAAATAAACTTATATCCTTATTTATTTAATTACTTAATATTAATTGTATATTCAAATGACTCTTCATATACTTCCATTTTAATAAGAATTATTGTTTCATATATTATATATTTTTTTTAAATTTCTTGAGTTAATAATTATATCTAGGGTTGTCCATGGGTCAGGCTGGGCTTGACCCGCGAAATTTCTTTCGGGTTGGGCTTGGGTAGTGTAGGCCCAAGTCCTGTGGGTAAGCTACCCGCAGCCCAACCTGTGAGCTTATTGGGCAGGCCGGCTCACGGACTTTTTTATATACAATTTTATTTAAAAATAATAAATATTTTTGTAACTTAATATTTATGTAAATTATATTTTTGAATAAAAAATAGAGTTAAAATAGATAAAAAAAATAATGAATAATTTTATTTTTATTTAGGGGATGTACCCAATAGAATGAATACATCCCAATTAGGTTGACACCTACTCACTTATCTATCATTTGCATTACTCTACCATTTAAAACTTGTATGCTTAATACATGAAAAATAAAATAATACATTATTTATAGTATGTAAATTTTTAAAACTTCAAATTCTAACATTGAAAGATTTATTTCAAAATTTCAAATTTAATGGTCTAAAAGTATAACTTTTTTTCAAAGAAAGGGTGGGCGGGCTATGTGGGTGGGTTGGGCTTGGCGGGCAAGCTCTTTGGCCTGGCTTCGGGCCGGGTAATGCGTTTGGAGGCAAACCCAAGCTGTCTTTTTAAGAATATTGGGCTCAGGT